TGTGATATAGATATCGGATCAGTGTTTTAGTTATGATGAGAGGGCATATGATACAGGTATTGAATGAGTGCTCCAGTTATGATAAGATAGGGGTTCAAACTTTAAGACCTAGAATGAAGGATAGCTCTGCAGTTAGTGGCAAGAATTTAGAAGTGATTTAATCTCTGAGCTTAATTAATCTTTCTGAGTTTTTCTTCATCGCTAACTCAGAGCTAATAAATCTCTCCCTTGACTACTTCATCATGTAGCTGTGAAGTTCAAAAGTAACACTGTGTCAACTTTAAGAGCCTGTGCAACTCTGTGACCTGTAAGGTTGAGTGATAGGAAATAGTCACCTCTTTTTGACCTATAAAACTGGCACTTGCAAATAAATATTCTGGAAATGTAGAGCATTGCTAAGCCCAACTTCGAAATACGGGGTTAATCACTTCTATCAGTTTGAATATTTGTGTCCTTTGCTGACTTCAACATTGACAATCCTGAAGATACTGTTTGCTTCTCCCTCAGATACAATGACTTTGAGGGAAGAATACCAACATACTTGAAGATAATCGTAGCCAAATGGGCTTAAAGTCATAGGACTTTAATTGAAATAACAAGGATAAAACTCAGTTGAATGATACAGAGACAGAACAACGGGAATGGATGTTTGGTTTAGTTTTATTATTACGACTTTCTATAGTAATGAAGCAGAACAAAATATTGCAGAGAGCTTTATGTTCTTAGTCTGATTCTAGTCCAAGCTTTGTTATGAACTTGCTATGAAATCACAGATGTAGTTCACTGTCTCAGTTTCCCCAACTATAATATGAAGGTGCTGGAACTGGATATGGTCTTGAATATACCATCCTGTTCCAATATTCCATTATTCTTGGCTTGCATTTTTAGTGAGCCATAATCATCAATTCATCAGAAAGCAAAAGGAAAGACTAAGGGTACCTCAGGAAGTCAAAGATTTGCGTTAAAATTCAAATGAAATTCATCCTGTAGGAACACAAAAATATTTTCCAGACGAAAGCAAGACTTAGGCTAAGTGAAATTTTAACAAAGTGATGGTGACCTGAGACCAGGATGAAAGACGAGAAGCAGGATAAACTTCAGTAAAAGATGAAAAAGAAAGAGTACTGGTTGGAAGCACAGAAGTCAAAAGATTACTGAGTAGGTCTCAAGTGACTTCTGCAAAGCTGTCTTAAGAGTTAATGCCCTTGAAAATATGAAGGGAAGGGCCAACCACTCTAGTGTAAAGATTGAGATTAACCTGTCCCCTCATTAGATTCTGGCTTCCAGAAACCTAATCTCCTATATTTATACCAATGGGGACAAATCAACTAAAATAAAATTTCTTCATAAGTGATGCAAAGTCTACTTGTATCCATAACAATTTGATTCACAGTAACTCAGTGTCAAATCTATCTTTCATAAAGTCTATGATCATGAAGGTAATTGTGAAGGAAATTAAAAAAAAAAAAGAAAAGAAAACCATGCACAAACGAACAGCAGAGAGAAAACATATTGTGGGGAAACTAATAGAAGTAAATAAAACTGAAAATATGACTACCTGGTAGAAAATGTATTCACTTCCCACTAATTTTCCCTCTACTCTAAAGAAAAATACAAAACTGATTCTTTACCAGCATAAAATAGGTACTAGGTTTTTGGAAAAGAAATCAAAAGCTGTTATAAGCGTTTTCCAAGCTGGTGATTGCCAGGCAATTAGATTTCCATTTTTCTTTGTCTAGTCATTCATGCTCTTTCTTGGAGATTTGCATGAAAATAAAAGAAACTGAAAAAATGCAGCTGAAGAACATGGCAACTGGAGAATTTGTATAGTTGAATAATAACTATTGGGGACCCATGTATACATAATGCTACAAAGGCATAATTAGACCAAATGTCTGTATTTTGCAAAGATCTCATTTTGCAGTCTGTTAGATTTCCATGCACAAGTATCACAGCTGAGGTTAACTCTCACACACTGTGCAACATCAACTCAAAAACATGCATATGACACTTTTTCATGAACACACCAGGAAAATATATGGCTACTAATTCCTCACTACTTGTCTGAGGCCAAATGTGCAAAAAAAAAAAGAGGCTGTATCCCTAAATTCTTCTGTGCTTTTGAAAATAACACAATTTTCAAATTAATTTTCTCCTTTTGGTGAAATAAGATTGATTTCTGAAATACGGATTGCAAAAATTTTCCCTTTAGAACAATGCCTGCCAGTCAGACAGTAAGCACTAGATAAATCATCCTATGGGAACACTGGGCTATTTACCTTCACGTATGCCATATAAGCAAACACAAATATACATATCACGTGCCCCAGGCTGACTGATGTTGATCTTGGTTTATAAAGTCTCTAAAATGATGACACTATCATTTCATGATCTATAGAAGCTGTTTAAAATTGTTCTATTGACTTATACAATGCTGAGAACAAATTTCCAGAACATTCTTAAGATTAAAAAAGTTTTCTGGTTAGGAATTCACCATTACGTTATAAACTCCGTGACGGCAGGAATCCTGTCTTCCTCATCTTTATCCTGAATTGTTCTCGCAGAGCAGATTTTCAATAAAGGTTTGTTACATTAATAAAATCAACTCTCTGATCCTTATCTGACAACGAGATTTCATCATTAAACGTATTTTGTGTCTCCATGGGCATGTCTAACTTCCTCAGATAAGAGAGATCTCTATGGAAAGCCACTGATGTTTTGTTAGATAATGAAGTGTAACTTGAAAAATTTCATTAAGATAAGCTAAAACCTTTAATACCACTCTACCTTAGAATATAATGTTAGCTTCCAATACTACTATCAAACCAACTCTAAGCCTCAAGAAGCAATGGAAGAAATACCACTCCTGTATCTAAAACAGGAATTGGGAAACTACAGTATGGCCCCTGAGCTAAGAAAGGTGTATACATTTTTAAATGGTAGGAAAACATCAAAAGAAGTGTAATAGTGTGTGACATGCGCAAATTATATGAAATTCAAACTTCAGTGTCTATAAATAAAGTTTTATTTGTTTATAAAACTTCATTTGTTGTTTATGGCTACTTTTGTGCTAGAATGGCAGAATTGAGTCGTGGCAAGAGACCACATGGACTAGAAAGTCTACAATATTTACTACTTGCCTTTTTCTGAAAAAAAAAAAAAAAAGGGTGGTTGACCCCTGTCCTAGGTAGTCAAACCTTTTAAGCCACGCCACTTAATAAGCAACAATTTGGTCTGACAGAATTTTTTCCTGTTAACTGGAAAAAAAGATGGGAAACAGTAATTATTGCAGAGTAATTCCGTCAGCATGATATGCTAATGGATAATTCTTCTGAGGTTACTTTGGCTGAACCAAATTTTTCCAGAGTGAACAGGAGGCAATGTGGGATGGCTTCTTAATCTCGTACTAGCACGCCTATCTTGGGAAAAGCATTATCCCCTCTGGGTTTCCCTTTCTTTGTCTGTAAATGATGTTACAGGTTTCTATTTCTTTGATCTTCATTGTATTGTTTTATAAGAACTAAATCAGTTTTGCACTTGAATATACTAACATATATTTCTGCCTGATATCTCAAAGAATCCATAGAATTGGCAATTCTGTCTGCAAATCTGAGTTCTAATTCACCTTTGGAATACTCAGTGTTGCCAAGGACCTGACTAAACTTTCTGCTCAGCCTTACGTATAAAACTATATAATTATAATTTACAAAATTTTCATGTTAAAAGCAAATGGTGGGCAAAAGGGTCTTAAATGCTCAACTAGCCTAAAGTCCTTTGAAGAGAGAGCACACTTCTTTTCTTTCCCTCTCCTGCCCACCCCGTACCCCATAGCCAACAGACAGATGCTCAGGAGGTACTTTCGGATTATCAGATATACATTCCAGCCTCCTCAACTGCATTTATGGTTATTTAAAAAAAAATATAATGAACCGTCTTTGTTAAACTTTCCATAACTATTTCTGCATAGTAGCTAATAACATATCAGAGAAGAACCATTATTTCTTGTTTGTTTACATTTCTATTTTAAAGACAACCTTTGCCTTAGGTGAGAGACTTTGGCTTCATTTCCTTCTCCTGAAGAGTAAAGTCAAATGTTTGAATTACTTAATTGGGCACAAATTATATATATTTTACATTTCTCCACAGAGATTTTGGCAATACTTCCAGTATAAATACAATATTTTAATTAAGCCAGCAAGTGAGTATTCTTAACCACAGAAGGGTAAGTATAAACAGAGTCTTGATTCGCCAACTTCCTTCCTTTCATGAGAGCTATTCTATTCTGGTTCGTCATACAACAGCATCATCAAAGATCCAACAATCAGCGTAAAATTTAATGTATAAAAAAGCTGTCATGTATATTTTAATATGGTTGCAAAACCTGGCCCAATTTATGTAAAAATGTCTTGTTGGAAGACAATGTAGAGCAGAGACACTAAAACATGGCAATGTAATGCTATTTTGCCCTTCTGCACCCAAGCATTTTCCCAGTGAGCATGCAGTAGGTCCCAGAACTCTTGTCAACACAACACTCAAAGAGGTCACTCTATAGGAAAACATATTTGCTATCCCTAGTTTACAGCAGTTTCCCCAAAAGTAGATCCTGTGCATCCCAGGAGATGTACAAGACAATCCATTGGGATGAGGAGAGATCATCTGTTTTAAAATATGCACATTATTATATGAATAGAGGATGTACTCAAAATTCTTTTACTGATAGATATAGATGGATCCGAGAAACAGAGAAGAACAAAACTAACATTGTTAGCGTGGGTCTCTTTGTAATTCACCCGAAATCGTTTGGATTCAATTTCAGAACATGGGTGGAACTTCAGGAAGGTCATGATAAGAAGCATGGAAGGCTGACATAGAAAAAGGAACCCCACACCAGCTCATCAGGAATGATTAGCATCGGTTCTCTCACAGTCCCATCTTCTGCATCACCCTTCAAGCCGTCACTCTGCTTCAGCCCTCCTAAAATGGTACATTGACACACTCACTGTTTCTGCAGTAAGTGCTGGTGTTGCTGCTGCTGCTGCTGCCTGTATGTTTCAATCGTGTGCTGGGGAAGGTACTGCATGAGCTCTAAGGACTCTTTGATCTTCAACAGCATTTCGTAGGTCTCACGGCCCCTCACCTACAGAAGTGGGCAGGAGAAAAGATAAGGACAAATGAAGATCTGTAGAACTATTGCAGTGCAGTCAATTCTCTTTTTCAGTCCATTTTCTTGTTCTCTGTTCTACAGAGTCACCATGGACACTAAATTAGTCAGTACTGAACCACTCACCACTCCTAGGAGGAATACAGGTCCTGTAGGCTTCTGATCACAACATTTTTGTCAACCAATCACTAGGTAACCTTGCTTTCTGTGTGCTTCTGTTTAAAGACACCTTGTTTAACAGGGACTGTTGATTTACTCACATAACTCATGGCCAACAGCACTGTAACTCATGTCTGAACAAAGTTTATTTAACACGTGTATTTTCCCCACCAGGCGCATCATAGTCTTCTCGTGCTTAGGAATACAGCACTTCTGAACTATGCCTGGGGACCATTTTAAACAGCAATGTCACCAAAAAAACAACAACAACAAAAAAAAAAAACACCAACGTGTGAAAATGTGGCACTAAATAGACCGTGAAAAGGACACTAGTTTACAGAATGAGAGCTGAAACAAGAAGGCAGAGCACTGCCTTGTTTGACCTCAGCTGGGAGTGTGTGTGTTGGGCACGCACATTTTACAAATTTGTGCTGCTCTGCCCATGTCTGCAAATGACCACGAAAGGGCCATCAGTACTGATTTGGGGGGAAACAAATAAATTTTAGCAAATAGGTGGATTTGCAAATATGGAATTCATAAATAATGAAAATTAACTGTATTTGTCTCTGGAGGGGCAAGAGTTTTCAGCCAGGGTAAGACAGTCTCTCCCTGAGTGTCTCTTAAGTGCTTTTTAAAAAGTATGAGAAGACCTAGGGTGAGGCACGGGGGGTGCTCAGGGCACTTGTATGAACCGGAGAGCGAGTGTCTTTTTAAATTTTGCACCCTAGGCACCCCACCCACCTCAACCTAGTCCCCATTCTGAGTACCAGAGGTGGACTTCATCAGAATCCATGAATGGAAGAATTTTATCTTCCTTTTGTTGGGTTAACTCCTACTCATCCTTCAAAACCCATCTTGGTATCACCTTTTCTGAGAAGCCTTTCCTGATCTTACTCTTTTAGGCCAAGTCTGCTGTCCCTCTATGTATTCCCATAGCCCAATGCCTAGCTCTACTGAAGAATTTATTTCACTACATTATAACTGTTTGTCTCCTCGCTAGAAGTCAAGCTCTTTGAAGGTAAGAAACGTGTCCTACTGATCTCTGAATGCTCAGAGTCTAGCATATTTTCCACTCAGTAAATACCAACTAACCAAACAAAACCAAACCCATTGCCGTCGAGTCGATTCCAACTCATAACGATCCTTCAGGACAGAGTAGAACTGCCCCATAGGGTTTCCAAGGAGCGGCTGGTGGATTCGAACTGCTGACTTTTTGGTTAGCAGCTGTAGCTCTTAACCACTGTACCACCAGGGCTCCACCAACTGAATACATGCCGGATTAACAGAAGTTTTCCTTCACACACTTCAGTTTGGCCAAGGCTTCACTAAACTGAAGATGTAACTCATTACAGAGTACCTTCTTCATTAGTACAAACTGAAATTCCATCTAAAACAATAGCACTTCAAGTGGGTCCTATCCTTTGAGCTAAAGACATATAAATTTTTTGGAATACATAGTATATCAGGATAATGTTAACTTAAATTCCACAAGTCCTTTTCTATGTGTAGCCTGAGAAAAAAATACATGGAGGATCTTAGCTAACTCATTGTCTGATTGGTCTACCTGTAGTCTGCTGCTGGAGGGTCAGGCCCTAAAGAAGGTGGAGACGTGGGTATGGCACACCCAAACTTGACAAGTTGCTTTAGCTTCAATCCCAGGGTGCCCATGTCTTATGTCAGTTTAGATGACTAGCTTCAAAGGATATACTGGTCATAAAAAACTTTGCTGTTACACTAGATGGCAAAGACCTAAAGCAATGAGAATTCAAAGAACTGGAACCGTGATCTAGTAAAGGTCACCTTAGTGATCCCGAGAGGGCTAACGCTCCTTGCAGAAGTGAAAATAGTCTTACATAATAATAGAGCTGAGCCTTCTGGCTATTCACATATAATTGAGGACCCTGCTGTATTTTGCGTTCTTTATAGCACTCCCTAAAAGAAATCACACTCCATATTCTATAATTGTTGTGTTATCCACGTTGTGAACTCTTCCCAAGCAAATGTTAGTCAGCGGTTGGTACGTCCATGCTGCCTAGCATAATCTTATCCTCAAATAATAAAGTACCAATTAATTTTAAATATTTTTTGGGTAAAAAGAACTCTGTTAAGGAGAGTAACTTTGATTGGATGGGTATGAAAATGGAGGAGACTAGCCATCAATATACTCCAAAGTTATGAAGAGAAGAGATAATTTACTGATTTTTTTTAAAAAAACATACTCTGTGCTTTATATCCTTAGCTACTCTCTCCCTTTCCCACAGCCAGAGATCATCAGAAGATAATCACATAGTCAAAGTCATTCAAAGAAGGGGAAAAATGGAACAACACTGAATACTCCAGGGAGACTCACTGGCAAGTATAACAGTTCATCATCTGGGGATCTTCGTTTCTTGATGGATGTCATCTGGATGCCATGTGTGTTCTGACGAAAAGCTGGCAGGGGAAAAATAACAAGTTTTACCCTGGAAACATTTCTGAAGCTATAACACATTTATTCAACAGACAGTGGCATCAGCAAAACCCGTGAGATTAGAGTTTCTAGTTCTAAGCATCCATTTAATCAGTAATGATTGCTTTTTCATTAAGTGTAAACCTAGCAACAAACAGGAGAGGAAAAAGTGGGTAAGAACAAGGGAAAGAAAGAAATTCCAGATGCTGGGAAATGGTCATTGGTTTAAGAAGTCCTGCAGGAAACCATATGTCTTGCCGGGAGTATGTCTGTGAATAGCTGTTAAGGAAAGAAAGATAAATTGGTTTTGTGATTTCATTTTTAGTTCATTCATTTCCAAAAAGACAAACGCATTATGTAGAGGTTGTCTTGCCATTGCATTCAGCCTCATGAGCTCGCCCTTCCCATTCTAGTACATACATCACATAACTTCTGACAATTTCATTGACCTCAGTCTTCTCTTTGGTAAAATGAGTGAATTCAGCTGAAAAAAATCCCTAAGGTTTCCAAAATGATAAACTATACCCAGGATTCAAAGTACAGAGATGATCCTTCTGCCAAAGTTCAGATAATTTGTTCTTACTAAAAGTCAGAGTCATTAATTTGAGAGTAATTGTGATGTTCAAGGAAGAGTATGGGGACTATGCTACCAGGCAGACTCAGAAGTAAAATTAGGATGGATATCTATCTCTATTTCCATCTCTCTCTCCCTGTCAACCTATCTATCTATCACTGATGTTTTGAGGAATAATCAGAGGGAGCCTAACAGGAAAAGCAAATCACGCTGAACAGTTAGAAGTTGATGGTGAAGGGTTGTTTTAGCATTTTATTGTTGTCCTCCTGTAAAATGCAATACAATTTCCATTTCGTCTGGATAATAATTAATGATAAGATCAAACCTCTTTTTCATAAGATAAATCAGAGTTTAGCATATTTTAAACTACTTGTTGCTTCCACATGAAAAGAAAGAAGCTGGATCCATACCTCATACCATATAAGAAAATTAATTCAAAATGGATCAAGGGCATAAGGTGAGATCTAAAACTATAAAACTCTTAGAAGAAAACACAGGGTAATACTTCAGGACCTAGTTTTGTTTGTTTTCAGCATCTGGTAAAATTATTGCCATTTTAAAGACATTTTCTAGTTTACTTTTACCTTTATTAACATTTATTCTTTTATCCATCGCTGGTTTTCATTTCTTACTTCTTTGGTTAAGTATTATTTTAACTTTCTTTTTTTTTTAATTTTATTTTTAGTGAAAATATACATATCAAAACATGCTTCCATTTAACAATTTCTATACATATTGTTCAGTGACATTGGTTACATTCTTCAAATTTTGTCAACATTCTCATCATTTCTGCTCTGTTTTACCCCCATTAATTTTGACTCACTGCCCCCTAAACTTCTCATCTATGCTTTAGAGTTACTATTGTCCTTTTGTTCTCCTATAGACAACTTTTTAAAAGAGCTCAGTACTTAAGAGAGACAGTCTTTGTTTTTTGAGCTAAACTTTTTGTTAGTTTGCTTGTTTGTTTAAAGATGACTTCAGGGGATAGTTTCAAGGTTTAAAGAATATCCCAGGGCAATAGTCTCGGGGGTTCCTGCAGCCTCAATGGATCCAGTAAGTCTGGATTCTTTGGGAATTTGAAGTTCTGTTCTACATTTTTTTCCTTTCTATCAAGATCCATCTATTGTGAGGGACCTAGTTTTTAACAATGGATTCTTAGATATCTTAGACATCAAAAACACTAGCAGCAAAAGACAAAATCGATAAAACAGACTACATTAAAATTAAAAACTCTTGTGCATCAAAGGACTTTATCAACAAAGCAGAGACAACCTACAGTTTGTGAGAAAAATTTTGGAATCCATATATCCGAGAAAGGTTTAATATCCAGAATACATAAAACACTTGTAGTGATGTCAGGCTTATGCCAGGAACTTTCTAAAATCAAAATTCACTACAAGTTAGAAGCACAAAAAGCTAAACCAATAGATTCAGACAGTGATTCTCAAACTTTAGCTAGCATTAGAATCATCTAGAGGGCTTACCAAAACACAGATCTTGGGTCCTCACCCCCGGGGATACTGAGTCAGTAAGTCTGAAGCCTAAAACTTTGCATTTCTACCAAGCTTCCAGATGATGCTTATGTTACTCATCTGGGAATGATATGTTGAGGCCCGCTGAGCTAAGAAATACTCACTATGACTACTTGCTTTTGTAAAGGTCTAGTGGGCAACTAGAATCCTTTCGGGCACCTCTATCAGTAATACAGCTGTGCCCACTGGCTCTGTGGCCACAAGTCAGACTTTGCCTCTAAAGCCCTGGTGTCCTATCATGCTGCCTCTCCAGTGTCATCCGTCCCATACCCCAGTACTCAAGAAGACTCAACCCTGCCCCACTTGGCCACTACATCTACTTACGGCGCTTCGTACCATCACCGTTCTTTGTGCTGTCCGAGACTTGCTGCTTTCTGATGCTGTCTTCATCTGCCTTCCGGTCTCGTCCTGGGCAAGCACAGATCCGGGCCTCAAAACAGCGTCTGCCCAGGACTTGCCCACTAGGAGTTAGAGAAGAAGGGAAGAAAGGGTTAAAAAAAAAAAAATTGAAGTCTCCCGGAGTCCTCCCATTTCCAGGTCTGCTGCTGGCCATTTCCAGTGCACCGCCACCAGCAGCTCAGCCATCACCGCTTTGAGGATGGACTCAAAAGCACTTGGCAGAACACAAAAGCGCTGAAATGCCACAAGTGATATTAGTAAATAACATTCCAATTGTTCTGCAAAGAACCTCTAAGCCATTAACTGAACAGCTGTATTTAGCTACATATTTTGAAGGAAACTTGAGTTAAGCCAGTGGATGTCTCCGGATAAAATCCCCTCAGGCAGCCCAGACTTATTCAAAGAAACTGTTAAATGGCTTGGGGGCCACATGAAAACAAACACTGTCTAATCAGAAACAATTCCAGTCAAATGTCAAGAATTCAGGTATGAAACAACTTGCACACCTTCCCAGCCCTTTCTTTTTCTTTCTCCCTTTGCCCACCCTCTTCTGTCTCCACTTTCTTAGATCTTTCGTGTGTTTGCAGCAAAGCTTTATAACACAAAGGACAAAATCAAGGGTAGCTCTCTGCTGCACGTGCAAATTAGCCATAAAGCAAAAACAACTTCACTTTGCCCTCTGCCCATGCTTTTTGTAGAATGACAATTTTGCATATGCCACTTACTCTCTGGTTTCCAGAGTGACAATGATTAAAATCGGACGGCGGTTCATCCCTCCAACACAACTGCTGTTACACATGAAGTTGTACAAGACTGTTGTGAATTCAGTGCCAACCTGAACACAAGGGGAAGAAGAGTCTGTGTTAACAATGGTTTGAACTGATGCATTTCCTTCTAAGCTCTTACCTCTGTCTAAATAACTCCACTTTTGATGAAGTGATAGGCCTCTTTAGAGGCAAGGCAAGCTCTGAAACCCATTATAGATCCCTTGTTGTTCCTCCTCCGGGGAAGTTTAAAGCTAAGGTTTGCACCGTTGGACACTATATTAGGTGAGACAGACTGTAACAGATATAGGATTTTGACCCTGTTCATTGGCAGGCTGATATCTACCATCCAAGTCAAATGGGCTACACCACATACATGAATATCATCGAAAAGGAAGAGCTGAAAATTTACCAAAAATAGTAGAAATGCTCCAAGAATATTTTCCCTATTTGGATAAAACAGTATAACATAGATTTGAATGCGCATTTCCATCAATAACATCTTGCAACTCAAAAGGTGCTCGGAATTAGATCGCCTAGTCCAAAGTGCTCATTGATGGATGAGGCAACTGAAGCCCAGAGAGGAAGTGTCATATGACAAAGGTCCACACAGCAAGCCAGCAAGCCAAAGGACACTGGTCTTGCTACTCCAGTGTTCCTTCCACCACATCACTCGGCTTTACAAATCTGCCACCTGTTCATTCCAACTTCAGCTGAGGGACTCCTCGTAGGTGCTCCCATCTGCAGTCTAGTGTAAGAGTATTTGCATCTAGCACTGTGCACAGCTGCTACCAGCTCAATCACCAGTCAGACTGTCTGGATAAAACAATGTCATGTATCAACTCAACTGCCAGTTCAGTTATCATCTGCCCTTAAGATAGGAATGTGGAAACAAAGCCACGTTACCAAATTAATTTGGCCCAAATTTAGGAGTTTTGAAGGAGATAGAGCAGAAGCATGTGGAGAAGAGGACGAGGTTACGTATTTGATAACAAGAACTAAGACAGTGAAAGATGCTAGAAAAACTCCGTATCACTGATAAACAGTTGCTCTCTCCAATCTGCCCAGCCTTTATCTTCTTACCTGGGGTGGCTCATAAGGGACCAGCACACTCTGTCTTCCTGTGATGGGGTCTTCTACGTATTGGGCATGGCTGTTCCCTTCTACCCGAATCAAATGACTAGGAGGCGCAATCTGTCCTGCAGAACAAAGAAAGACAAGAGAGTTAGCTCCACAGTCTCAAAACAAAGAAAGCAAAAGGAAACAACATGGACAGAACGTTGATGGCTAAAGAAATGGTTTGTGTCATCAAGGAAATATACATCCTTGGAAAAAGACAGATCCTGTTGCCAGATATCTAATGTATGAAGACATCTCAACTTTTACAGTAATAGAAAGACTAGAATGTTTATCTCTATCTGAGGGCATAGTCCTATGTTTCTGGTGCTTAAGGTTAACCATGCCAGCTTTTTCCAGAACTCTACGCCTACATCTGCGACTCAATCCATGGAGATAATTTTGCCAGCTTCCCTGGGAGATGGAAGGAAAAAGATCAAGTTAAAAAAGCAGTTTGATTAAAAAACTGGCTAGCTTTGTTATGCTTAAAGGACCCCTAGGTTAGGGGACAAGAAAAGTGAAGCAAGTTCTGAAATAGCCTAGGCAAAGTTTCACAAAATTGTGATCCTTGGTAGAGCTCCAAAAGAAAGAAGCTGCTCCAAGAATTGGGGGCCATAAAGGTGTTCTTAACCTCTTAACCTTTGGCCATGTATTCCCACTCTAAAAACAGCCATTCAATAACAGTAAAAAGCTAAGTGTGTCAAGACGTTCTCTGCAGCAGAATATATGAAGGTAAAAACTATTGTGTCAAACAACGAGAATGCACTTAAAAATAGTTAAATGTCACCTTGATGGAACATGGGGCAGTTATGCAAAATTTTTACAAATCCTAGTTACATGGAATAATCTTTACGGCCTAATGTTAAATGAAAAGCAAGATACAAATGTATGGATGACACAGCCATGTAGATGAAACCAAACCCATTGCCAGTGAGTCGATTCCAACTGAGAGCAGAACTGTCCCATAGGGTTTCCAAGGAGCAGCTGGTGGATTCGAACTGCTGAACTTAATGTTAACAGCCATAGCACTTAACCACTATGCCATCAGGACTCCAGTGTAGATAAGGACTAGAAATTAATGTGTAAAATATAGCTGTGTTAAGGTGGAAAGATTTTGCCTTTCTCTTTTAATTTCTACCTTTTTTTTTTTTTACTTCTTTAATTTTTCTCTACCATCTATTATATTCTCTATTTTCACACATTCTTGCTACCTGCCAATCTTTTAATTTTTAATTCTCAGCCCTCTCTCACTCTCCCCATGTCCTGCATTTACTAGGCTATTTCCTATGTAAAGTATCTTAACTCCCAATCCCTCATGTACCCTCATTACTATTTAATGATTCCTTATCCTATCCCCTGTCCTTCCTTTCCAGTTCTGGGAACTCAATGCTTAGCCTCGTTTCATAGAAAGATTAGAATATCAGATCTAAGGGAATACTTGGAGATAATGACCTCTTCTGTAAAACTATTGTTGGAGCTGAGGCTCAGAAGTCTGCTAAGAAGGCTAAGAGGGCTAAGGAAGAGTATGGCTAAGAAGATATATCCCTGGTTACAGGGCCTAGAGGTGGCCCTCAAGATAAGATGCTTGCTCCCTCAATTCCTGGGTCTTCACTTGACTGCCTGCCCTCCATCTCTTCCATCTACTCTTCTAGGTCTTCTATTTACCCCTCTTACCCATTATTTGCCTTCACATATCTTTTTCCTCCTGTCCTCCTTTCCTCTTCCAGTTCTTCATTATTCCTCTCCATTCATGCGCCTTCCTTTTGCCCTTCCAGCTCTCTACTAGTCTAGCCTTGAAAGCCATTCTGGGAAAATCATTAAAGCTGAAGAGTACTCTAGCCTGGGCTGAGAAGACCAGCTGCCATGTTCTTCTCCCTACCTCTCTCCTTACCAAAATCATCATAATAATAGCAATAAGGGAACCAGCAGTGAGTTGGGAGACAAGTCTAGGTCATCTAGTAATTACTAAAATTAAATAGTCCAACTATTTTTGAGAGTCATACATTTATTTATCACAATTCTCAGACAGGGTCAGCCAAAAAGGCAGACTGAGTCGCCATCAGATTGCAGAGGTCTGAACCAGGAAGGTAGGCCTTAAACAAAAAATCCCCCCAGGATCCCTACCTTCAAGAAGCTTAACTGAACAGCTACAGATTCCACTGCTCCTTACCCTCGTTGAATTCACGGCTCAGCTCGTGATTGGGGCACCGTTTCACCACCTCAGTGACATGCTCAGCTTTCTTGTAGACAGGCATGGCCCGGATGACAGCACCCTGAGGAGGGGGGGTCATCACCTTGATCTGGATGGGGCATGTCTTTGCAATCTGGCAGTACAGTTTCTTCAATTCAGTGGAATACTGCATAGAGACGGGGCCGATGATGGGGGGAAGCAAAAAACCAACAGGAGAGATTATTATAGTCAAAACAATCAAATCAAAACAAAACAAGAACAACAACAACAAAATGCCCACTTTTCACAGCCTTTATAGCTGTATATTTACCACTGGGTACTAGCTACATGACATCCAGCAATCTGATTAGAGTGAGTTATATTATAAATCAAATTAATAAGAATTTTGCTATTTGAAATCAAGTCACACATTTACAAAAGGTTTCACATTTATCAAAACACATTTATCCTGTTAGTCCCTGTTATCTTCTTTTTACGGTGAAGACACCTAGACTTAGAGGGGTTCCAATGGTTAATGCCATGAGCAGCTTCATGAGTTAACAGGAACTAAATGAAGATACAATGTTCTCATATATGGGTGATATGAAACAGCAAACTACAAAGATAGCTTTCTGCTTAGCAGATTATAATGAATCTTGCCTTTACAATACTCCAGAGGGTTTCATAAGAATTAGGATTTATAGAATTAAAAAAAAAAAAACAAAAACGAATATCTGCCAGAGTTGGGAGAGATTTTATCTGAGGTCAACCAGCCAGAAAACTGCAACACAAGAGCTCCGCAAAACTACTGCACTTATTTCCCAACATCACAGTATAAGAGAATGTGAGAGCTAGAAGGGGCCTTTGACCTTATTTTCGTCCTACACCTTCACAAAAAAAGGACTGGCTAATGGCACACAGACAATAAGCCACTGAAATTGGCCATTGAAAACCCTACGGAGTTCAGTTCTACTCTGACACACGTGGAGGGGCTGTGAGTTCAAGCTTTGTTTTGTTTTTTTCCTGGATGTTGTTGCCCCTTTCCACCTTTGAACTATAATGGAAAGTCTCCATTCTAAGCCTCACACTATATTAAACCTTGTCACCTCTGTTCTGTGGGTCAATGCCCCATCACTGCATTGCTACTCAGTCTGATGCTGGGGTGAAACCACCCAGGTACCGGTATTGCTGGCCAAGACTGGGACACCTAGGAACACTTATCCAAACAAAGAATAAACACGCATGCGCGCGCGCGCACACACACACACACACACACACACACACACACAGGTGGCAATCATAAGATGGCAGCAACATCTTTCCAGGGGAAAGACATGGAAAAGCAAGAGCCAGAAGGGCAAAGGGATGAATAACTGACACGTGCCAATCCAACTCTGACTGAAGACAAATATCCTACCAAAAAATACATTAAAAACTGTTTATCTGTTGCTTTTGAAATATAATCTTGATTTAAACAAGCTTCCTGTCTTTCCCAAGTATTTCAGCTCTATGAAATTTTCAGTTAAAAATTTCCCAATGCTAGAAGTGAATTGCATAATCACTTCTCCATGCCCACAGGCCAAGGATTAAACACACCAAAGGGTTTTACATAGTTTGCAGAAATAGGAAGCATGCCAAAAATCAGTCAGAAAAATAAAATTCTAATTAAGAAACACTGAATTCAATCTAGATAGATATATTTGTTAGTATATTTTTTAAACTAATGACTTCACGAACAAAGGCATTGTCTTAGGACAGGTTAAGAACTCACATCTACGAAAACGCCAAGAGAAAAGGCCTATCCGTTTGTTTTAGTAAGAGACCCATTCTAATCACGAGTTTCATAAAACGCACCTTAGGAAAGATGGCTGAAAAATAAGTCTGTCAGCTAACACCCGAAGGCATGAGCGAAAAAGGCATCCTTCCAAGTATGTGGAAATTGCAAAAAAGGATTGTAAAAAAGAAAGGTAAGTGTTCAGAAGACAGCAGTTTCTTAACAGAAGCATTCCATTTCAGTAACTGATATACTTCACATCAGGCTTGACAGACTAAGATACAAAGCCCTCAGAATAAAGTTGGGCACCATCAAGTGTTAATTCTCACTCATTTTCTGGGTGGAATTGGGAAATCTAATTTCTGAGTTTAAATAATGACAAATAACAGCTCCTACCACTTCCTCAGTGCTGGTGGAAGGGACGGAATCCTCACACAATGCTACGGTGAAGGTATTACAGGTATACAATCTCTCACCTGGCACACCTGGGGCAGAGGTTTCAGAATGCAGAATTGTGTAAATTTTAGAAAGGGAATAAAGCTCGTATCACATGTATTATAAACATCTCCTTCAAGATTTAGGGCAGCAGCCCATAATCACACATTAACATTTCTACAGGACAGATGAATATTCACACCAACTTGGAAATGACTATCAATAGCCTCAGGCTGGCCAGTTTTCACCCATCACAAAGTCAGTTTGCCACAAACTTATGTAAAAAAAAAAAAAAAAAAAATTAACATAGCAAACCTTTGGTTTTCAGAGCTCTTTGAATTTCAGAATTAAAGGTAAAGAATTATGAACCTTCACCGTTCAGCCGGTGATTGGACAGCCCCATAAAACAAAACGGGACTAATGAGGCACAGCAGTCCAAGGACAAGGACTAGAAGGCAGAAGGAGACAGGAAAGCTGGTGATAGGGAACCCAAGGTTGAATAAGGACAGTGTTGACATGTAGTGGGGTTCTTAACCGTTGTCATAGGGCAATATGTGTACTAACTGTTTAATGAGAAACTATTTTGTTCTGTAAA